GCCTGGAACTGAAAATATGGATGGAGGACAACAGAGCTGCTTCATGGAAGAAGAACCTCAGCTTAGCCTGTTAGCTTTAGCATTAGCCCCGACTCTCAGCGCTACATATTCTCCTCTCGTCACTGGGGTCCTCCATCCACATGACAGAGAGGRRAACACAAAAATGACTCAGCCTGTAACTGAAAATATGGATGGAGGACCTCAGTTTAGCTTATTAGTTTGTCACGCTAGCACCGAGCTAATACATGCACCTACAGCAGGTCCATTTGTTCTTCAAATATTGCCTTTAAGCTAATTTTGTTGTTTCATGATATTTATAATACTAATATATTGATACTTTGCTAACTTCGATCTACTTTTGCCTCTGTTTTGCGTCGTCACGGTTGCTAGGCTAATTTTGGCCCACAGCCCCCACTTTAGGCACCTCTGCTTTAAAATAAAAATATATTTACATCTGCATTAGTAAAGACATGCAGATATGGTCAGATTTGTCCTGATTGCAGGTAACATGAGGTTTTTCTGCATGAAAAAAACTGTGTACTTGTATTTGTATATGAAAAAATGTACTTTCTTTTTTACTTCTTCTGGTGTCAGTACTGCTGTGCAGAAGTAATATTTCTCAGCAGTGATACCTTCTGACTGCAGCGGCCACATTTCCCAACACCTCCTGATCATTTATCTGTATCAGCATAAAAAGAGTATTTTAGGCTTGAAATGTAGTGTTGTAATGTGTGTTTGTGTTTCAGTTCCTCTGCTGTAACTGACGCTGCAGTTTGAATTAAAAAACTCACATCTGCAAAAACTCCTTGTGCAACTTTGTAACTTCTGTCACATTTAGTTGCTACACACAATCTTACCAGCTGAACAAACCAAGTGTGACATTTTATTAACAGACTTTCTGTTTTGCCAGATATTAAACTGTTCCGCTTTCAATTTCTACTGGAGTCTCCTCGAAATCCTCCAAGAGTTTGATTTCTAATCACTGTGTTAGCCAAGCCTTGTTGTAACCCTCCACTATGATGAGCGCTAAACTCAATTGTTTCCCATCAGATCTCAGGTTTTGTTTTGTTTGTTTTTTTTTTGTTTTTTTTTTAGTTTTAACATGATGCTGTTTCAGTGTTAACATCCTGGAAAACATAAAAATGTGACCCAAGTCTGAGATAAGGTTTCTGGTGTGTGTTTGTGTGCTCGCAGGGAGTACGTCTCAAAAGTGCAAGGTTGCCCAAATTTAACGTTCCTGCTTCTAAGAATAAAGTATTGTGCTATTTATAGCTCTCACTTGGGCCCCAAGACACACACGTCACTGAGTCCTGCTTACCAACACTGAGACCACAATGTGTGCGTGTGTTTGTGTGTGTCGTAATGTGAGGGAGGTTGTTTAAAGCCGGAGATGAGGAAATGCAAATCAAAAGTGCAGCTTCAGCAGAGATGTTTACGTGCGATCTGCAGCACTTCCTCTGCGCTCAGGTGTTGGTGTGGTTAGGAAACGTTAAACGGAAACACACACATAGCTGCTGCTGTTGTGCAGCTTCACTGCAGAGCCTTAAAGCCCTGTTTGTACCTGTGTGTGTCTGTGTGTTCTTTGTGTGCGTTTGCTTTTTGATCAAGTTCGAGCCTCGCCACTTGGAGAGGAAAGGTGCTAGCAGCGACGGCTGCTCGTCGACTTGGCCTTTTTGGGCGCCCACACACATTATGACACTTCAACGTCACTTCCACAACACTATTTATRAAGCTTTTGTGTCTTTTTAGGAACAGCGTGGGTTTGCTTTTCACCGGTGACTCACCGAGTGGAAGCAGGAGGGAGGAGAGAGGGATGGAAAAGGCAAAAGCTGCAGATGGATTCCAGCGTACAGAAACAAATGAAGCAATCAATAACTTTTATTTTTGTACATAAGGCATGTGGTTGACAACTTAAAGAGTCCTCTGTGTATAATAAAGTATTTAACAAAACATAGGAGTCAGAATGTCACAAAACTAAAMCAGATTTCATTGGGGAGGAGGCCAAAGGTCAGCAGAGAATTTGGCTTTTAAACGCTGATGGATGGATGTCAGAAAAAATAAAAACTAATTAGCATTTTCTCTGTTTTGTTTTGCTGCAGGTATTTTGGTGAGAAAACTGGAAAACAACTGAAACTAAAGAGGAGATCAACGAGCACAAATCCTGAAAACTGGTATTTATTTATTGGAAAGCCTACACCATAAATGATTGCGCTTAAGTTTAAATTCTGAGTATATGGATGACTTAAGTAAATTCATGTTTTATGTTTCATGTGTTAAGTTGTGCTACAATTGTTCCTCCCATCTAAACAAACAGATTTTTTGTAAAACCAGGCTTTTTAAGACTGGATACAGAACATAGCCTCTTAAACTGACACTGCTTTTGTTTGGAATTGATATACATATCTTCATTTGTTCCATGTACCTATTTATTTAGTTTAATCTAAACTAATCTATAGACATTATTGTTTTTTGTTTTTCAGGTCACTCAAGAATTCTGCTGTCATTTGGGAAAAACAGCATTTTTTCTACAAGATGTCAAAAGTGCTTTTCTGATGTTACCCACTAAACTTTCCCTTCTAATTCCACATCCTGCTTCCTGTTCCAAGTCTGGCTTTACCATCAGTCTTATTCAGAAATGGATGGCCCCTTCCCCTTTCTGTGAACTTGTTGGCAGCCCTCAAAGTTTCCGCTATCATGCTTGGTAGCTTTTGGACCTTGTAACCATCCATTACCTACCCTCTCAACTTCTCCACCAACCCCACTTCTACCCCTCTTCTAAATCACAAAAATGGAAGCCCATGCATCCGCTACCACAGGGCAGAAATGCTCAAATAAGGAAATAGTGAAGGAGAAAACACCTCTGCAAAGAAAGTGGGCATCTGAGCCTACGGCGAACTCCAAACAAAGCACTTTTGTTGACCAGGAGGTTAAACACCGTGAGAGTTTGCCAGTTGGTGCTACCGGAGGATCAGCGCCCCAGCAGAAGTACACAATCACAGGGAATTCTGCTAAGCTGCTATGTGGACCCTCTGCAGTTGGAGCCATAGGTGGTCCACCATCCCAAGACTCCCAAGGACCCTTTACACAGGCTTTTCCAAGGGGCTACTCCTTCCAGTTGGGCCAGCCATACCCTCAGCATCCCCAAACCGAGCGCTTTGTCTCAGGAGCCAAACCACAGCCCGGCCTAGAGGCTCATGCCTGGCCATTTGCTGGCCAACTACCTTCAGATGACCTGTACCCTGTAGGACATCCAGGCCATACTCACCCACATGGGATGGGGCGGTTTCCCCGACAAAAATCTCCTAGTTTACCAAGCTCCTTTGGACAGTATTCCCAAGCAGGGTCTGAGCCTGCAGAGGAGGGCTATGGGAAAAAAGAGCAAAAGCCAAAGAAGCCTGGTAAATACATCTGTCCCTACTGTCATMGAGCATGCGCCAAGCCCAGTGTCTTGAAAAAACACATCCGCTCTCATACTGGAGAAAGACCATACCCTTGCATRCCCTGTGGCTTCTCTTTCAAAACCAAGAGCAACCTTTACAAGCATCGCAAGTCCCATGCTCACGCCATTAAAGCTGGGCTTGTACCATTTTCATCAGAACTGTCTGCGGCCCGATTTGGGGATGTGGATCAGGCATCCTCACTTGGTGAAGCAGATGTGCCCTCAGATGGAGAGCAAAGCACAGATACAGACGAGGAAGGTGTCGATGCCTCCACCATGTTGACAGATAAGAGCAGCCCTATTCCGCAGATATCTTTCGAAGCTGACAAGAATGCAGGTAATTGTTTTTTACGCAACATATTTGACATGATAACTATGGTTTGAGGATAGTTTTTTTTATTTGGAACTTAAACCCAGGAAAGCAGTTTATCAGTATTGCCTGTTTAAGTTATAAGGCTCCCACATACTCGGACGTACTGTGTACAGCCTGTGAGCCATGTGGACTCTACGCATATTGTCCGCAGATGTTTGAGACTTCATACTTGAGTGTACTGACTGCCTGACAAATTCCTTAAGTTTTCAGTCACGATGTCAAGGACGAGGACAAAGAAATAGATTGAATTTAAGATTAAAAGCAACAAATGAAAATAATTTACTTTACCCAGGGTCTGAGCCATTTCCTCACACAAATGTGTTGCTCTCTGAAAGTCCTTATATTCCTCATTGATGTATCATTTAGTTTCTGTTTTCTAATCTCCTCCGTGAGACGTTCTTTCTCTATTTCATCTAAAAAATGAGGCAGATTCTCAAATTTATCTGCTTGGTGTTGCATCCAAAACAGTCCAATGTGAACTTGCCAGGCAGTTTGTTGAAGTAAAAAACTGATCTGTGCACRGACATGTCCAGCGGATGTCTGCATTGAGTCCGCCTCGAATCCGGGCGGACCTCCACGGAGGGAAGAACGCCCGAGTATGTGGGGGCCTTTAATCTCTGTCATTATGTTTTATTGTACTTCATTGTTTTTGCTACATAGGTGGTGCAGAGCCAGCATATGCAGATTCAGCTGAAGAACTCCCTMTCGGATCTATGAAAGTGCCTATCCTCATTTTCCCCAAGACTGGAGGCATTCCTCCCACTGGGATGGAGTGTCCTCCATTTCATGACATAAAAGGGTCACATCACATGCTGGGGTCAAAGGCAGGTGGAAGGGCACGCTCACTGGATGACTCCCCCACCGTTAAACAACGTTTGGCCCTGAAGCTGAATGACAAAGGGCAGGACTCTGATCCTAGCATGACCCAGTCCCTTAACCTCCTAAGTCCTCATAGCAAAGGCAGCACGGACTCTGGCTACTTTTCTCCCTTTGACAGTGCCGAGCTCCAGATCGGCACTCCCAATACTAATGTCAAAACGTATGAAGAGATTATGTTTGGTCGGACTTGGTATAACCGTCCCAATTCCAGGTCAAGACAGCCTATCACAGTGGGCATGGCAGGGGCAGACCCTAGCAGCCTTGTGAGCTTAAAGCAGTCAGGTGCTATTCCAGATATGGGGAAGACAGTCGAAGATCATGTCTCTCTTAGAGGAAATCAAGCAATTTGTGGAGATGCCAAGCAGTACCCAACTGGACCCTGTCAAAGCAATACAGGACTACTGGAGCCTCCATCGGATTCTGCAACTCTTATTAGGAGCAACTCCATGCCAAGTCCATCTCCTCCKAACCTCAGTGCTCCTCAAGGGATTCGAGGAAGCRTCTCGTTTGATAATATGGCAGCACCAGATGATGTGTTTTACCCACCAGGTCATCCCAGACTCAAAAGACAGACTGCATTTGAACAACCAGGTAATGAAGCCCACATAGGCGAGGCTGAGGGTTACGGACACATGGCCAAGAGCTTTACCTCATCTCTAGGTATGAAGATCAGTGAGCGCAGCCCAGGAGTCCCCGAGCAGATTGCCTATAGCCCATATGGTACTAAAGTCAGCATGTCTGAAATAGCCACAAGAAAAAGACGAAAAGAGAAGAGTGTAGGAGATGATGAGGACAGCCCTGGGCACTGTGATAGTAGCTGTAGTGGTTCAGTTGAGATGATTGGGGACTATGAATTTAAACAGGGCAGTTTTGATGGGTCAAGAGGGACTCCTACAGGGAAGGGCTCTTTTCACAGTGCTCACAGCCAGTCTGACAGTTTTGATACATGTGCCAGTATGTGCTCTGAGGACATTGCACTGTTTCCTGACTCAGAGGGCAGGAAAGCAGCCAAGAATGCCATATCAGTTATCCTGCACACAGATTCTCTCAGGCGTCCAAATTCCTTTGAGAAGTCAGAATCTTTTGAGCAACCAGGAAACCAACCCTCAGATAAAGCTCCAACAACTCAGTACTCAGAACAGTCTGACACGGATATCTTTGAGGATGCTCTGAGTCCTGAATCTGCACTTCTGAAGACTGAAAGCATGGAGCAGCAGGTACAAAGTGACAGTGATCTGGCATCCCTCTCATCTTCTTCAGCTGCTCCCTCACCTGGCCAACCATACCCCAACGCGCACCGACTAGTCCGACAATCCAACATCCAAGTTCCCGAGATTAGAGTGACAGAGGAGCCCGACAAACCCGACAAGGATGCAGAAGCTCCAGCCACCAAAGAGCCAGAGAGGCAGCAGCAGCATGTTGAGGAGTTCCAGCTACCACAGAGAAGTGACACTCTGTCCCAGATGCCAACAGAAAAGCTTCCACCTAAGAAGAAGAGGCTGCGCCTTGCAGATATGGAGCACTCATCTGGGGAATCCAGCTTTGAGTCCACCTGCACCAGTCTTTCTCGCAGTCCTAGTCAGGAGAGTAATCTGTCCCACTCGTCTTCTCTTTCCATGTCCTTTGACCGAGATGAGGGCCCCAAGTCTGTTTCACCAACCAAACAGGTACCCAATTACATGTCTGTTTTTAATATTTGCATGACAGCTACAACAATATAACCACCTGAAAACTTGGTATTTATTTTTGGTAATGAGTAGCAAGATACAAATTTTGGGGATTAAGCTTGTTGTGTTACATCAGTATATACTCAATCTAATTTGGATTTTGGAAGTTTTTTGCGATGCGTGTTTTGTAATGAGCTTTCAGTTGGTTTTACTCATGTGGCCCATTTGTCTACATTTGAAGTCCTTGTGTTGCAGAGCAGAACTTGTAAAAAAACAGAACATTAAGTGGCTTTTCCTCTTTTTGGGTTTTGTATCTTTTTCCAGGAGGACTCATTGACTTCTGGAGGTGCTGCAAAGCAGTCAGAGTTCCTGACTGTCCCCGGCAGTGGCTACTCCAGCCACCATCAGCAGAGGGAGATGAGAAGATCTTCGTCAGAACAAGCACCTTGCACGCTGCCCACAGAGTTGCCAGAAATGCGCAGTAAATCCTTTGACTATGGAAGCTTGCCCTCTTCCAGACAGGGTGAGCTCTACAGCAGTGCGTCTGCAATGAAGGAACGTCGGCGTGGATATCTTGTTCGACAGGTAGGACCGTGTAATACCTTGATTTTTAAATGATATTTTTCAGTTTGCTGTATGATTACCATACAGTTAAGTTAGAAAGTCCACAGCAAAGCAGGTTATTGTCACCAAAACACACTTGAGCTGCTTGAAAATCCTTGATTAAAATTCAGGTGGTTCTTTCTTTACAGACATCACTGTAAATATTTAGGATTTGTTTTAGAATTGGTTTGATCTCATCAAATAAAGGAGCAGCTTTCTTATAGTCTGCCATTTTCTGACCAATCAGAGCAGTCAAGACCTTTTAGGAGTTACCATAAAGACAAAGGAGCTACAAAAGTAGCTACGTTTACATAAGTAAAAAAAATGGCCAATAGGAATAAAAATGTGCAATGTAAACATCCCAGTGGGAATATTCTGATCTGACTCATGGATTGAAATGAATTTGTAATCTGAATAAGAGAGGTGGTCTGATCATATAATTCTGACTGGCTGTCAACCAGACCCACTTCTGCTTGGCTACATGCTAATATGTCAGGGAAACAAAATTTGTTGGTTAGCGATACATTTTTATTAGAAACTTTGAAAGTGCTTAAAATGACTGAATGCCTTGATAGTTGAAAGTACAGATGTGATGTTCGCGAACGATCCGAATCTTTTGAATGGCTCTTTACAAATAGGAGCTGAATCGCGGGCAGTAACGAGCCATTTGTAGTTCTATTTAGTTTATTCCTCATATAATCTTTATTTTTTTCATACTTAAATCGCTCCCGCTTTGCTTTTTCATGGAAAACAGGCAGAGTTGTGGAGTACAGAAGCTCACGTGAAAGGGGGAGGGGGGTTTCCACTTGGCAAACAAATGGTTCCACCCACTTGACGGCATTCCGTCATTACATACGGTTACGTGATGACGTATTTCCCTACGTGATGACGTAATACGTTCAAAATCGAACGGCTTTTTTGAACGGCTCTATGAAACCAACGGGTCCCCAAGATCCGGATCCCTTTAAAGAGCCATTTATCCCAGCTGTAGTCGAAAGTGTAGGAACGTGGAGTATTTCAACATTTGTCTGGATGGGTTCATCGTGGAAGTAAAACTTCTTCTGGGTTTTTTTTTTGGGGGGGGGGGGGGGGGGGTTTACAACTCTGCGCATGTCAGTGCCTCTATTCTAAATAAAAGCATGTAAATGCTCGTTATTATCCAGTTAATTAATTTTGTGCCCATTTAAACAATACTTTCAGGTTGTTTAATCCAAATACATAAAAGAGTTTTTCACTAGAGGAGAAAGAGGCTCATGAAGATAACTCTGGTGTCTCTTTTATTTTAATAACTTCCTTCCGTTATTTTCTACTCATTTGACAGGCTTCACTCAGTGTGTATCCAGAGGCAGTCCTCCAGGAACCAGGTGGAGCAGAAATGTCAATCAAACAGGAGAGTTTGGAGCATGGCGCGTGGCCTAGCTCATCTGGATCCCCACACGGCAGCATCGACCAGCCCAGCAGAACCAAACGAGCTGGAGGTAAGCCTTGTATTTATCTACTGATTAAACCAATCAAATAGAGTAATGCTGACCCTTCTTGAACTGGAGTGTCAAACACTAGTTCTATAAGACCCATTAATATAAATAAATACAAGAATATGAGCATCAGCTGTAGGTCCCAGAGGGATTTTGGACCTAAACCATGTTGGAGTTTTATTACAACAATACAATTCTTTCATAACAAGCTGTTGTTGGGTCTTTCTCTATAGACTGTACAAGACAGGGT